CTTACGGTGGCGGCGGCCGGCCGACGTGGCGGCGACACCGCAGCCGCTCGATCACGCTATTCTAAGCCGAGCCCCGCGCTGGGATCCACTCGGTGGCTTCCTGACCGCCAGCCGAGGCGACGGACGGTGGCATTCGCATTCACATTTCTCAGGCGGCCGTCAGCGGTCCGGTGATCAGAGCAGGCCGCGCCGAGCGAGGCCCGGCCGGCCCCCCGCTCGGCCCATGGACCACACCCGCCGCCCACTCTCAGGGACCGGTTTCTAGCCGCAATAACGGCGTCCGGAGGCCCGCCCGCCCCGCCCCGAGCGGGACAGACCGTCGGCCCGACAACAGACAGGAGCCGTGTGCGCACAGCAACGACCGCGGCGGCGGCGGCGGCGGGGCGGCGCACAGCTGATCGGGGGCCGAAATAGCCGGCCCGGTGCGCCTGTTGGCAGAGCGCGCCGTCAGCTGATCGGCCGCTCCGTCCCTCCCTCCCTCCTTTCTCCCCAGTCGCAGATCGGCCGGTCCGTTTCCCAACCAAGGTGCGGCGGCGGCGGCGACAATCGCCCGAGGATTAATCGTTTCCAGTGAAACCGGTCCGTGCGCCGGCCCAGCTGACCATAGCCGGACCAGCGCTGGACAAGCGGCGCTCGGCGCTCAGCGCTCCATAGCTCCATCGCAGCTCGGACCGCGCGTCACCGGTGTCAGCCAGGGCAGTCTACTGGGGAGCGTTATTGCAGGCCCTCGGAGCCACTGCACGCCTTGCACCAGTGCCAGTGGGCAGTGGAGGCGGCATTGCGTCACTAACTGGAACCCGACGCCCTACCTACATTACGTGCGACATCAGGCTCAAGAATCGAAAGCAATTGGCTTGAATTACTGTCATGACGCTGTCGACCTAAACCCACTTAAAACTAATGAACCTAGCCTGGACTCGTTCGATACACGATCAAGTGAAGTGAACGGATGGTTCTGCATCAGCCGTTTATGACTCCCAATCCAGCTATACACCTTAAAACGCTTAACTGCCCTCGCACGCCACTATTCTACCAAATACGGCCAAACACACTCAGGTCACACAAAGCGCACCAGCCACGCCTTATGATCGTGCATAGCTGAGTGATTCCGGCGCAGCCAAGTTGCTATGTTGGTTGAGCATTGGAACCACAGCTAGAGCGACTAGCTCTGCACCCCTCAGTCGGGCGTGACACGGCCGATCCCGCTGCTCGGCGTCCCTGAGACGGCGGCTCCCATCTCTCCTCCGCCTCTCCCTGCTCCGCCCCTCGGCCGGTACTCTCTCCAGCACCGGCCGGTTCCAGCTCCATTGCCGGTCTTTTCCAGCTCCAGCGCCAGATGTTTCCAGCTCCAGTTCCAGCTCCAGCGCCGACCGTTAGGCAATGACACCCAAAAGTGCTCAGCAGCCAGCGGCGCGCCTCCGGGGCTTCTCTACATCCCAATTCCGTCCGGCGCCGCTCAGCCTCCCTCGTTCCACCCTCGGTCGTCGGGCTGACGCGCCGTATCGGTGTGCCGTCGAGCCGCTAACCGGGCGACCTCGGATCCACCGCTGGACCAGCGGCCGCTCGTGATGGGTGCGCGGAGCTCTCCTACCAGGGCGTCCCCCCGGACCAGAACCCCGGGGAACAGCGGGGTAGGATGGCAAGAGCGAGTCAGATACCGCGTGACACCCCGCCGTGACGCGTAACGCCATACGACGTGGCGCGGCAAGTCAACACCATGCATCGTCACGTAACGCTGCCAGGCCATCACGACAGGCTCGCGTTACGCCACATCAGAATACCTCATAGTGTGTCAGGTAACATCACGCTACGTTAGCATCGCATCGTCACATCAAAACATCGCCTGATGAGGCGTCAGAATCGCGCTGCTGCGTTCGTGAGTGCCACGACACGTGCAGATGCCGGCCACTCTACTTTATAAGGAACGTTCAACGAGCCGACAACACTGCCCCGTGGGGTACAGGCACGCCTGCAGCTTATTATGCCTGCCCATATCCGGGAAGGATAGGTTTTCCAGCTGGGGAAGTCCGAAAGTCCTCGCAATCGGTGCGTTGCAAAACCATGCAGTGTGCACTGCAAGTTATCGCCATGGGGTTCGCTGGCGCCCAAAGCGTTCGTCTATTTCTCCAGGTGCGAGGCACGCCACGGGCTAGTGCGACCGGCTGATTGGGTGACAGCGGAACCCAGGGACAAGGTCTGGCCGGGCGGGATTACACCAATCGGCGGGATCACCTAACGGTGGCGCCGCCGGTGAGGGGATACTGGGCCAGGGTCGGCCGAAATGGGACGGTCGCTGTCGCTCAAGGCAGGTGGGAAGTGAGTGGGAGAGCCCCAGTGTCACGCCAATGCCGCACCGACTGTGGGGCCGATGGATATCGCCCAGCTCGGCGCGGGGCTAGAAGGCATTATCAAAAACATGGATAAGGCCATAGCCGACCGAGCCGACTTCAAGCGTCTCCGTCGGCTGTTCAGGAGACAATCGTGCGCTTGATAGTCTTCCAGAACGATGAACCGCGACGCTTTGTATCGATCGGAGCGGACCCGCGAGAACAAATGGGTAAAATGGAAAACAGCCGAACAAAACAAAATACTCGTAAATAACGCCCCGTTCGACACACAATGCGAAAAAACGAGTCGCCAAATGAGGCAGCAAGTCAAGTGCGGTGAGATACGAGATCACGTCAGAGCGAGCTGCTAGTGACGCCATTGATCACTTGACCGGCATATCAATCAAACAATACGCCGAGCGAACTCTTAACGAATCGATCCACGTCACTGATGACACACCTTGCGGCACACCCTATCTCTCGGTGACTCCAAAGACCACACAGCGCTGAGAGCAAACCGTTCCACAAACACGCAGTCAAGTACTGCAATTACTCCCTGAAAATCAGCGGTTCGGCCGCACCCGTCACCATGCGTCATTAGCCGCGGAACAAATGACCGCACGGAGGCGGCGGTCGAGCCGTCAGCTCGGCCGCGCCGCAATGGTCTCATCAAGGCCCGCCGACCGTCATCAGCAGGTAATAAACCGGCGCTGGGCGACGCTGCGCTCGCGGACACGGCGCGGGACAATGGCAGCCGAGCCGGCCAGCGGCGGCGACACCGCCGAGCCGCTCCTCACAAGGCTATCGGCGCCGGCGCTGAGCCTCGTCTTCAGAGATGGGCTACAAAAGGGAGATTTAAGTCCGTGGCCCAATGCCGGCGAAAGTACGAGTTTGGACTGGCTGGAGGTGGTCCTGCCGTTCCATGCGGTGCTGGTTTGGCAAGAAAAATGGCAAGGCATCGTTCGTAGTGGGGTGTAGAACTCGCCTATGCTTCATGGGGCGTGGGATATGAGTCATGCATCAACAAAAAAGACTACTGATATCAAGATGACAACATGCTCAGTAAAACTAGCACGCGCTGTGGTGTTTTACGATGAAAAGGTTTGGGCTTCTTACGATCGGACATAAATTTAGCTTTATGGCGGTCATTCTACTGAATCATGAGCCTACGTCAACCCGGAGCGAAAACAGGGTCTGAAGAACGTTTAGACAGAGGTTAGGCCTAATTTTTGAAAGTGCTGTTTTTCTGGCGAGGATCAAGAAGGATGGGGCTGCCGGAAAGGTGGATCAAAACATTCAGATCAGCGGCTCAAGAGGAGGCTCTGCGGCAGATTTTACGACCACGCAAGCCGGCAATCTGCAGAAAATGTTGCCGATTTCCCCGAGTGATTAAGTAACTAGTCGGCCGTCTGGTGCCAAGCCGTCATCCCATCGTTCCAGACTCTTGATGCACTGACATGTCTGGCCACATCCGCATCAATACTTGTATTTTGCCAAGCTATAAAAAGTCTCCGGATTTCTTGTGATGCACTTGCCACACGTTCGAGCGATTTACTTGAGGCAATGAGTAAGATGTCTGCACTGCAAACGGATGGGTTTTTGCCGGAATCATGGGCGGCATTTACCGACCCACGATAGATTGCTCTGGTGTTCCATCCGGGACAATAAATAACGAGCACTGTCTGTGCGAGAGAGAGGGATGATTCTGTTGTGCTGCAGATGGTATTTTCGTACGGCATCCCCGGGGGAGCGGCGTATGGCGCGGAACTGCGGGTTTTCCACCGAGCGCTACCGCAGAGGCTGTGCGGGCGGCAGCCGCGATAGGCCCGCGGTGACGTCATATGTGTCACTCTGACGTCACGTCACCACCATCAGGCGTGCGGCCAGCTCGGTCCGCGGGGCCGCGAAACCAGACCAGAGTGTTTACGTAACCGCCTTGACCCCCGCTGCCATGCTCACCAGGCCAGTAAAAGGCAGGCCAGCCGTGGGCTGATCGTCAATTCGGCATTTCTTCACGTGGTGCTACCTATCGCCCTTTTCGACCCATAACAGACGATCGGCGTTACCACGGCGTTACGAAGCGTCACGAAGCGTCACGCGGCACAGGATAGCCCAACGCAGCGCTGCAGCTGAAAGTGACGACCCTGCAGCGATCCCGTGTAGCGGTGTTCCGGAGCAAATGATATCCGCTGACGGCAGAGCGCACGCACCGCTCCGCTGCACAATTCTGACGGCTGACCGATACCAGAACGGATACAGACTACACAATAGATAGGGAACAGTGACGACACCGACCGACATATTTCCCCAAACTGTCACTCAATGAAAGCTGTCCGCCGTGCTGCCGAGATCACTCCAGAGTCCAATTATCATAATTAAGATGGTCGATAAACGGAACACTTGTTATCACTGCTATCAGCGCACTTTTTCTGGCCAGCACTCGATAACGCACTTTGGAGCGGACATTCCTCAGAACCTGGCGCTTTGTCCCTCGCCAACGCAGGAGTCACACCACTCCCCTCTCACGAAACATCAGCTGTTCGGCGCTCACCGCCCCCCGCATCGCTCAGCTGAGCTAACAAGGCGTGGTGGGTCTCGTAACCCCTCACCGGGCCTCCCACGGCCCACCCCTGGGACCAATGGAGCCTCAAGCATATCACAAAAGGTACTCACCCCGCCATTCTTGTCGAAGTTGATGGACGACCGACCCTGTAAAGGAAGAAAGACTGTTAGTGACACGTTTTGAAGAGCGGCCAGCACTACCTGGATCACAGCACCAGAATTTGAAATCAGACGCGACAAATTTCCCGAACCAATGGAATTCATAAGCATCTTGAGTAAAACAGTAATGTGGACAATTAGTTGGGTATGAAACACAGCTATATTACAAAGCATAGGTATCACACCGCCACCCATTAGCGCCGTTGGTCCTGGCGCCGCACGCCTGCTGCTGCTTTAATTACGGCACGGTGCCCGCGCTATCGGCTCACACGGCAGTGTTTGTTTTTGAGGAGTATTTTTCGGCCCGATAAGAGGCCAGTAGCGGCGCGGCGCCACGGTTAACCCATCCCCGCCGAAGCGTGTCCTGTTATCACATCCCGTGGCGAGCGCAGCGCCAGCGCGCTGGTGACGTCACTGGGCCATTTATGACGTCATGGGGTCAAAGGAGAGGCACCCGGTCGTCTGGGTCGGCTCCCCGCCGCGCCCACACAGGAGCCCAGAAATAAAAACGAAAGCCGATACAGCACTACGAAAACTGATCAAATGCCCCTGCAATATCATTTTACTTAGAGCCAAAAACAAACAAGTGTTAAGTGCTCCTATAGTATGCAATATGCAATGTTTGTTCGGTCTATGTAGAGTGGACAAGTTATCAGGGCGATGTTTCTTGCCACGCCGCTACAGTGCGCTACGCTGCGCTACAGTACTGGTGCAGCGTTTGCGACGAATTCGCCGCGACCCTTCAGCGTTGCCAGCGTTCAAGTTTGTTGATATTTCCATGGAAACCCAATACACCGCTACGCGTAGCGCGGGGTCGTGAAACACCCCCCTGAGTCCTACACCCTGCCACAGCCCATCTCTTGTCTGTCTCGCATCACAGAGCGCGTCGCGGCGGCTGCGCGGACCGACGCGGCAGCCCTGTCCCTCAGCTGACCGAAATACCGGGCAGGCACCCACCGACCGACCGGCCAAGTTCAGTGCCAGAGGCATCACAGAGGTGGCCAGCCGTCTCACATGGTTCGCCACCACCTCAGCCAGCGACGATCCGTCGCGGCAGCCACCGGCGGCGGCAGCTGGTCAGGTGAAATTCCACACCGCTAAGGACAAAAAGCAGCCGCAGGCCCGGTACCGGTGACGGCGGCGGCCCAGGCTGTTTGCCTGTCTGAGGCAGATTTGCGCAGCGCTCGGAGAAGGGAGCGCGCGCGGCGCCGGCCCGCTGCGCCGCTCCGGGCGCGATCTGGAGCGATCGGAGCCGGCCGGCCGGCGCGCAGGACGGTCGCCGACCCGGCCGCCGGCCAGGGCCGAGCCCGGAGCCGTACAGCGCGCCCGGCAGCCGGCCGCAGCCGTCCCAGTCACGCACACCAGGCTCCCGGTGCCGAGCGGCCGCTCCCGCCGCGCCCCCCGGCGCGAACACGGGAAACATCGCCCGCACTCGTAATGGCCCAGAGTGGGTAGCGGTAAGCGCAGAGAGCGGAAAGATGGGGATAACAGAAAAGAAAAGAAAACAAGCACCAAAAAGGATGATGAAAATATCGTTAACCTTTCGCGTGACTGCGTATTCGCAAGCTGCACGCCCACAGATGAAACAGACACCAAAAAGGGACGGCTCGCGATCGATACAAGTCCGAACAGCACGTGACGAACCATGAAAATTCGGGATGATACAAGCAGCGTGCGTCGAGCGACCCGCCGCCTCGTGTACCCGGCTGCGCCCGTCAGCAGCGCCCGGCCGCCGCGCCTGGCCCACATCGAGCCCTCTCGCACGGTCCGGATTGCCGCCAACAGGCACAGGCGCGGCTGACGCAACGACCGACCGCTGCGGCGACAACATCGGTAGAATACTTAGCGCCATATAAATGAGGAAGGAAAACTACTGAATGCATGGCGCGGAATGGACACATGCGGACTGTCTCCACTGTGACTAGGGGTTCTGGCATGGTGAGACGTGATTCCACTGTCAATGTGTTGAACCGAGCACGGTTGAATCAGTCATCTTGAGGCATTCTCCTGCAGAGAGAGGGTATACCCCCGGTGGCGAACCTGTGCCGTTCGTAGGCGGGCGCCGTGCCCCACGCTCCGGGACGCTGCCACGGTCGGCGTCGAAACACAGCTGCCTTGCACAAGCGCGGCTGCCAAGTGCCGTCGTGTCGCCCCAGGTTAGCTGACACCCCTCCCCATTCCCAACTGGGACGGCTACAGCTGGGTTCAAAGGCCAAAAACCTCCTCGCCCTTACAACTCTCCTCTCTCCCTCCTCCGCAGTCACCCTGCACCGTTCAGACACCCTGGGAGCCTGTAGATCAGGCGAGTTTCTGCCCGGTGTCCCATGACGGCAGGTGTTGAAGGAAACTACCGTCTACCCGAGCGCCCGTGTTCCGAGCCGGGGACAGTCGCACGGGGAGTCCCGGCGGCGCCCCAGCCGCTCTTCCTCGCAGGTAGATACCGGGGCGGCCTACCGTCCCCTCCAGACAGCAAAAGTGAACACTGAGTACTCGCCAGGTGCGCTCAGTTATGTCGTTTCGGCCGTTAGGAGGGGAGGGAGCTAATGAGCTCAAATGAGTCCGATATTTGCCAGGGGTGCCGATGGCGCTCATTGCGCCAATGCCACCGTCCGCGGTCCTCCGACCCGACAACTACCACTGGTTCCGGTGATGCGGTCGGCACGCCCCGGGTTCCGCAGGTTCCCTTGGGTTCCGGTAGATTTCCGTTGGATATCGGCGGCGGCCGGCGTTGGCCGGAGCGTCGCCACGCACCAGTGAAATGCGGCCTGTCCATCCGCCGCGCATCCGGCTGCCGGGCGGCGCGAGAGATCTGGGAAAGTGGCGACGGCGCGCGCCTGGCGGCCCAGCACTGGCGCACGGCGCGCGCGCGCGCGCACTGCCATCACAAAAAGCTGTCGGGGGCGCGGATAGTGCACCTAGCCAGCGGCTGCGCCGAGCAGCAGTCAGCGGCCGGTCCGTTGGGAGGCCGACAGCTGCACCTGGCCAATAATGGAGCCGCGGCGGCGCGCCGTCGGCCGAGAGGGAGCGGGCCACCCGCCGGCGCCCGGTCGGACCGCAGAGCGCACAACGGCCAATCAGCCGGCATTGGAACACCTCCACAGAGAAAACGGGCTTCAAACTTTGTTAATAGTCCGTTTGATTCCAGATATGGGTAACATATGAAAAGGAAAGAAAATGGGCTAATACATGGTAAAACGGTCTTCATGTATTTTCAACATAACTTCTGGGAATGACAAGTGTTCTAGCATGGTTTACACATGGTTATTGTATCGTGATTGTATCTACCATCTTAGGTAAATAATAAATGGGTTCACTTTTCAGCAGACAGCCTTATGTGATAAAAGATCCTAATCCATGTAATTTATGCTTATCAGTAGTCAGTATCATTAGGCAAAAAGTCCATAGATAAGCAGAGTGTCTGAAGAGATTCACATATGGACACATGTAAAAAACTGTTTGTAAAAGGAACAAAAAAGAAAAAGATTTCAGCAAAAAAAAAATTGCTTGATGATAGGTAATCAAAAGACTGCAAATAAATGAGTGCACAGTATTATGAAGAAAAAAGAACTGAAGAAAGGGACAACTAAAATTAAAAGGAAAATGTCATCATTTCAATTTGGTTTTGGAGTAGGGCTGACCACTTTTCAATCTCTAAAATACCCATAACCACTTAATTATTGGAAGAAGTATGAATCTATAGAGCAGAAAAAATGAGCAAGATATACCATTCAAAGTTTCCATATGACTAAATAGTTAAGTATAACATAGGTTCATTTTTAAAAAGCAATGATAAATCAAACAAGGGCAAATTAGAACAAAAACAAATGATCAAACAGGTAGGTATTTTTTTGTCTATTCAGAGATTTGCATATCACTTGCCAATGGTTAGCAAAATAGAAATATCATGCATTTAATACACCTACTTGACATAGAGCAAATAACATGTGTTTATGACAAACCAGGCATGTCCTGAACAAAAAGAAACTGCAGACTAGTATCAATATACTGAAGTCTTCTAAACGACATGAGAGCCTTCAATGGCATAATGTTTGCTGCCTTTGTGGCATGCTAGAGCCAATAAAATAACTGAATATTTAAAGGACCAATGGAACACTGAGTAATCAAGTACTCAATTACTTTCCCATCTTTTAGCACAGATCATCAAACAATCAGCGTTTCCTCTTAGACTTAAGGGAAAAGTGGGATTCTACCAAACAATTATAATAATGCTCAGACATAGAAGTCCTGACTGAAAAGTACCAGTGTAACTTTAGCAAAGTTAAGCTATAAGCATTATAATAATATCATAATGTTGACTGAAATTCATAACAAGCCATTAGCTATCTGCATAAATTCAGCCATATTTCAGCATACCTCAAAGCGAGATACAACTTCGGAGTATTGTCTTCAATCCGAGCCATCAAAATAAGCAAAGTACACAATAGTGGAAGAAAATATCTAGTGCAGGTAATTTCTAATTGTATTCTGACAGCATATGGATAGTTTCAAGTGGGAAAAGTCACTGAAAAAGGGCTTTATACATAACCATCTGTTGCTGAGAAGACAACAACTCCAGTACAATTTGTAGGTATAAATTAGACTCCACTAGATAAATCATGTTGTTATTTCCTGAAATAGATCAAGCTCTATGTAAGAAAGTATGCCATGAAAAGTCAAATGAAAAAGAAATATGAATATTAACTGTTGCTGAGGGCAGACGAGCTGCGTCATTCCCTCGTCCCAGAAACAGAGAAAAACAGCTTTTCAACACTTACCCCAGTCCTCACATGGTCTTCAATCGCCTTTAATGCCGAGTCCGTAAGCTTCACAAACAAATAACTCTTATTGTCCGTCAAATTTCCTTGTGAAGACAGACCATATTGACGGCCGTCCACCAAAACCGCCATGTCTAGTTATTACTGATCCGCTCCGAGAGTCTGGCCGCGGAGACCAAGGCCGCGGCGAAAAGCGTTAGAGGTGCAAACTATCTGGTTTTCAATAGCTTGGAATGGACTTTGAATAAAGACAAAGCAAGGGGGACCGGCAGCCGTAACCCGATCTAGGTCAAAATCCTCTTTTGGAGCAAAGGACTTGACCCAATTTCAAGCACAAAACTTTTTGCGCTAATCTTCTGCGCAAATTTGTACTTTTGAATTGCTAGTGCTACTTCCCTTCGTATTACGAGTGACGTCACAAAATGCATCGGAGAACCTCGGCTTCGTATCCAAGTACTATAAAAACACCAAATTTTGAATGAAAACACATAAAAAAAATATTTTTTATTTAATAAATCATGTTCTACGGGTCACAACATATTTCATTTTATATTATTCTAATTATTTTTTAAAGAGAAAACCCCTAATACTTCAAAGACAACCATAAGCGATGAGATCGTTTTTGGCAGTACGACGCTGATTGGACAATTTACGTTCAAGGAAAAATCGTAGTGCATCTGAGCAAAGAAAGAACAGAATTCGTTTTACAAAAGTACCGCGCCAAAGACAGTTATGGAGAACCATGAACAAAAGGGGTAGCACGTGTTGTCTTTGGGAACCCACAACAACAACAACAACGTGTTGTCTTTGGGAGTGTAAGTGGTGGGTACAGAGTACAGACTCATACAAAAATTACTACCTACCTATTGGTCAGGTATGTAGTGAGGCTTTTTTATTAATTCAGATTGCATGTATGAATGCTCAGATGAACAGAACTAGACCCCATAGCAAGCACAGCTTGTTGAATAGGACCCGAACTTGACCCCTGCTGTCCGGTTAAATGTCAATTCGAATTGTGGTAACTGGATAATTTTCAGAGTTAAGATATGAAAAATAAACATGCTTGTTGAACCCAGACACTGCCTACCGCACCCAGCTGATTTCAACTGGCTGCAGCTGTTCCGATTGGGCACCAACCACATCATCCTCGTTGGGGCAGGAGTCTCGTATCAAATTTCACAGCGCAGGGACAAGCCCAGGCTCTCACCATGGAAAGTCAGCTGCTCTACCAGCTTAGCTACAGGATACTGAACTAAACTAATCTCAAACGCAGCACCAATACAGTAGTGCAGCGCTGGGCCGAGAAACATGGCCCATGATGTGTGTTCATTGTTCAGTGTTGTTGAGTACCTTGTCTGATAGTTGTACTCCAGTGGGACCAAAATTTTGTACTCCACCATTAAGATGAAAAGTGAACTTCTAACCCAGCAAGCTTGTCAAGCTGTTTTCAACCCAGACAGTGGAGTTTGATGACAAAATGCTACAGCACAAAATTGAAGTAGCATAGCTTTTTCAGGACCTTTTTAAGTACATGATCTGTGACCATACAGTGAGGGAGCCAGTATCTCAGGAGTCCCTTGCCTTTTATCCTACATTCTACTCTAGGTACAAACATACTAGGTAAGAACCTGCAAACTCACCTACTCAGTACTCATTTATTCAAATGTGAAATCAGATTAAGATAAATATGGTAGGAGATGATTTGCCATGAAATTCAGCCAAACATTGAAGAGAATTAAAGTATCATGTTTTCAGCATTTTTTAAACATTTTTTTGCAAGTGAAGCATTGACATCAACATTTTAGTGTTGATGCCAATGTCAATTTCATTGTCAGCTAAGTGCTTAATAGTCCAGCTAAGTTCATCATGCTGATGTCAGGGTATCAGGTATGCAGGTCAAACTTTGATTTGTTTTAATGTTTTTTTTTTCAATGTTTAAGCTACTAGCACATGCTTCTTAGCTCCTAAAGCAAGTGTACATAATGTTAAACAGTTTTTTTATTTGATATATTGCATTTTAATTTTCATTTACCATTGACATGATTCTGGTAATTAGGGTAGGTATGGGCAGCATTGAATGTTCAGGTATATATGGATGGTACTACTGAAATATATGTTATAACATTGTTTAGAAGGTACATTTGATGTTACAGCATCTGGGTCAGAAGACAAAACATGAAGTTTAATGTGTCTCATGTTGGTAAAACTGGAGGAAGGCTGGGCATTATATCATTGGAGAAGAATTCTTCTGGGACAGCCATTACCTTGGAAACACCATTCAGCTTGACATACACAAGGGTAAGAAATACTTATCACTGTTTCTATGTATATAATGACAAATATATCACTGGGTCTATACAGAAATCACATGTACTTGTACCTACTTATATGAAAAGCATGAAAATGTTGTTTGCATTTTTTCTGCCAGGTCATAATCACTTAATTTATTCAAGCAATTATGTGAGCATGTTATGCATGTAATCATGTACCTATTAATTATAATCATTGCTTATCACTTAGCATATCACAAAGTAGGCACATGATCAATGAACAAGCTTGTGTGACCATCTCGCACATTTATATCAACTGCTCTGACTGTGCTACAGTGCATTGTGTGTGTTGCGTCCCTCCCAGTGTCTAACACTGCCCCTTTGCAGGGCGGCTTTGTGCCGCACCTCATCCCGGAGGTGACGGAGCGGCTGGCCTGGCGCAGCCCCCCCGTGATGCAGGCACCCCTCGCCTCCCAGGCGGCCCTGCAGTCCGTACTGGAGGAGTTCGGCAAGGGCTACCGTACCTTCGCCGGCCTCGAGGTCAGTGGGGAGACTAGCAGGGAGAGCTATTGTGCTTCGTAACGGGAATAAGGATTGGCGTTTGAGAGTAGTGTTACATATTGATGAGTGAGGAGCAGGGGCTACAACAGAAGCTGGGGAGGGGATTATTGGGTGATCTTTGGGAAATGACGATCAGAGATCGTTTGGGTAAATGGGGGAAGGGAGCAGAGAAATTGTTCGGGATGAAATGACTATCGTAAATATCGCACGGGAGGGCAGTGATGGCCTGAGAGTCAGGCAGGGATAGAGATATGGGTAGATAATAGATAATAGTTTGGTAGCGGCGATCTTTGCAGGTTGATCGGTTGATCAGTGAGGCACCGGCGGCACCGGCGTACGGATCAGGCAATGGGGAAACGAAGGGGAATCTGGGAGCTGTTTTGTTTAGCCTTTAGGAAGTGTGGCACGCGAACTAGGTGCAAAACAGATTGGCCCGTTAAGTTGATATCTAGAGTCATGCATGCATCTGACGCGCTCGTGGGCCTTACTTTTTTGTGCTATTGTAAACGGTTTTACCTGGTTGTTTGTGTCATTATTTACGGGATTCTGGTGGATGTCGGGCAGACACAATGGCGAGCTTTGACGTGTCGCTGGCTTTAACTGTCTGCGATGTCTCGACATATTAACTTACCAAAACTAGTATCGGTCTCCGGCCCCAGGTCAATAGCCTGTGTCCAGCTGAGTGACTTTTGTATTGCCACTGGTCGTCGCTCGTCATGTGAATGCTATGTAGCAAAGATTGTTTACCTATAATTTTAGCATAGCAACGCGCCCCTTCAGTATCAACCAAGCTGTATTAGCATTGTTTCAACACCATGTTTCATAAAGCTGATGCAATTTGGTCTCGCCTAAGCTCAAATACGTCATTTGCTCTGCGTACTTTGCACCTAGCCTTGTACTTTCTTTGATCTATGAATCACTAGCAGCTAGTAACGCAGCGTATTGCAGGGAACGGGTGTGAAGTAACCCACTGCAGTTGTGTCACATATACCC